AGGTTGAATCTCTCCTTCATCAGTTTCCATCCATTGTTGTCTGGACTTCGGGTGCCTTGGAAAACAGCTTGACCCCCCTCCTCTCTGGGAAAGCCCCTCCAATATCCTGTCTCCCCTGGTCCTTCTCTTCACTAGATTGGCCATGCCCAGTTCCTGCAACCGTTCATCGTACGTTTTAGCCTCCAGTCCCCTAATCATCCTGGTTGCTCTTCTCTGCACCCTTTCATAGAGATATGATAGCAGTCTTCTAATATTTGAGGGGCTGTCAAAGGGAAAAGGGAGTTAATTTGTTCTCCAAAGAGCCTGAGGGCAAGACAAGAAGCAACAAGTGGAAACTTATCAAAGAAAGATCCAACCTACAATTAAGGAGAAATTTCCCTGACAGTGAGAACAATTAATCAGTAGAAGGACTTGCCTCCAGAAATTGTGAGTGTTCATCACTGGAGGTTTTTCAAAAATAGACTGGACAGCCATTGGATCGGGATGGTATATGGCAGTGGTGGCAAACCTATGGCATGAGTGCCAGAGGTGGCACTCAGAGCCCTCTCTATGGGCACGAGCACCATTGCCCCAGCCCAGCTCCATCATGTTTCTCCTGCAGCGGGCAGAGAGAGAGAGAGAGAGAAAGAGAGAAGGGGGGAAAGAGGGGGGAGGGGAAAGAGAGAGGGAGGGGAAAGAGAGAGGAAGAGAGAGAAAGAGAGGGGGGAGAGAGGGGAAAAGAGAGAGAGAGAGAAAGAGAGGGGGGAGAGGGGGAAAGAGGGGGAAGAGAGGGGAAAGAGAGGGGGAGGGAAAGAGGGAGAGAGAGAGAGAGGGAGAGAGAGAGAAAGAGAGGGGGAGAGGGGAAAGAGAGAGGGGGAGGGAAAGAGGGGGGAAAGAGAGGGGGAGAGAGAGATAGAGAGGGAAGGAAAGAGAGGGAGGGAGGGAAAGAGAGAGAAAGAGGGGGAAGAGAAGGGGAAAAGAGAGGGGGAGGGAAAGAGGGAGAGAGGGGGGAGGGGGAAGAAAGGGGGAAAGAGAGAGGGGAGGGAAAGAGGGAGAGAGAGAGGGAGGGAGGAAAGAGAGAGAGAGGGAAGAGAGAGAGGGAGGGAAAGAGTGGAGGGAAAGAGAGGGGAGGGGAGAGAAAGAGAGGGAGGGAGGGAAAGAGGGAGGGAGGGAAAGAGGGAGAGAGAGAGGGAGGGAGGGAAAGAGAGAGAGTGGGGGGAAGAGAGAGCAGGGAGAGAGAGAAAGAGAGGGAGGGAAAGAGAAAAGATATTGTTGCTAAACATAATATTTCAAAAGCTTGAAAAATAATGAAGGGGTATAAAAGTGCATTGATCACGTTTCTCTTAGAACTCTGAACTCTGCATTGCTTATTATTTTAGGTAGTAAAACATTATCCAGGTAAAATTGCCGTGTTGGCACTTTGCAATAAATAAGTGGTTTTTGGGTTGCAGTTTAGGCACTTGGTCTCTAAAAGGTTCGCCATGACTGGTATACGGTCTTCTGTCTTAAGCAGAGGGTTGGACTAGAAGACCTCCAAGTTCCCTTCCGACCCGATTCTGTAATTTTGTAAGATTGCATGCATGATCATCCTTTCTTCATTCCACGCAATCCACAGAGCTCAGTATAAGATGGGTGGCTCCCTAAGTATTTGAAATGAATAAATACATTTCTAATTTGCAGGGGAGTGGATACACAGCCAGCTAAAATGCACAATTATGAATTTCTTGCAAGGAATGGCTTTGCTTGCTGACAGTTGACATTTCAAAACAAAACCTCGGAGTGTACGCCAATAAATTTGCATGGTGAGATTCAGCTATGAGTTGCAAAAAAGGTGAGAGAGAACTCACCCTTTTTAGTCCGAGAAATATTATTTTACCCTTGCAGGTCGTGATAGTTGATGCTTTAATTCCACTATGGCAAAAAGCCAACGAACAGAGAGCTAGAAATATAACTCAATAAGAGGAAAATCACACATGGGGGGGGGAAAATGGAAATGATCAAAGTCGTAAGAGAAAAATCACTTTCGTTTCTTGCAAACCCAGTTCACTGCACTTCCTTCAGAAGTCCACAGAGGTGTCTCATCGGCTCCATTTTTTTTTTAAAAAAAGATTCTTTTTACTCTGCCTTGATTTTTTAATAAATAAACTTTTACATTTAATTTTATAAATGTGAGTTAAACAAACATTAAATAAAGTAAATTAAAGAAATCAGTCTTTATCAGTTAGGTTCTCTTTAGCTTTAGGATTTGATGGTCTCCAAGGTCAGTTCCAATCCTATGAGAAAGGGGTCCCCAAACTTGGCATCTGTCTCTCTCATGTCTATTGTCTGTCCGCATGTATCTATCTATCTATCTATCTATCTATCTATCTATCTATCTATCTATCTATCTATCATCTATCATCGTGTCTGCTTGCCTGCCTGCCTGCCTATATCTATCTACCATCCATCCATCCATCCATCCATCCATCCATCCATCCATCCACCTACCTACCTACCTACTTACCTATCGTCTGTCTGCTTGCCTGCCTGCCTGCATCTATCTATCTATCTATCTATCTATCTATCTATCTATCTATCTATCTATTTATCTATCATCCATCCACCCACCTATCTATCATCTGTCTGCTTACCTGCCTGCCTGCCTGCCTGCCTATATCTATCTATCTATCTATCTATCTATCTATCTATCTATCTATCTATCATCCATCCACCCACCTACCTATCATCTGTCTGCTTACCTGCCTGCCTGCCTGCCTATATCTATCTATCTATCTACTAACCATCCATCCATCCATCCATCCATCCATCCATCCATCCATATGGATCCATCCATCCATCCATCCATATATGGACCTACCTACCTACCTATCATCTGTCTGCTTACCTGCCTGCCTGCCTATATCTATCTATCTATCTATCTATCTATCTATCTATCGATCGATCGATCGATCGATCTACCATCCATCCATCCATCCATCCATCCATCCATCCATCCATCCATATATGGACCTACCTACCTATCATCTGTCTGCTTACCTGCCTGCCTGCCTATATCTATCTATCTATCTATCTATCTATCTATCTATCTATCTATCTACCATCCATCCATCCATCCATCCATCCATATATGGACCTACCTACCTATCATCTGTCTGCTTGCCTGCCTGCCTGTCTACTTCTCTCTCTCTCTCTCTCTCTCTCTCTCATCCATCCACCTACCTACCTACCTACCTATCGTCTGTCTGCTTGCCTGCCTGCCTGCCTACCTATATCTATCTATCTATCTGTCTGTCTGCCTATCTGTCGAATCAACTGCCTGCCTGCCCTCTCTTGCTCTCCCTCCCCTCCTCCTATGCATCTACCGTATCCATCCATCCATCCATCCATCCATCTATCATATCTATCTATCTATCTATCTATCTATCTATTCTATCTATCTATTACTGCAAAAGACTCCTCACATAAGCCTGATGATGGCAGATGAGATTCTGTCAAAATGTCTCTTCTACCCTTTTAGGGATATATCCACAATTACACAGGAAGAAACCCGAAATATTAACTATACACACATATATACCCGTGAAAACTTACATAGACAACTATCTATCTATCTATCAACCTACCATCCATCCATCTACCTACTTACCTATCATCTATCTACCTACCTACTTACTGTCTATCTGCTTGCCTGCCTGCCTATCTCCCTCTACCCACCTACCCACCTATCTACCTATCATCCATCTCTTACCTACCTACCGTCTGTCTGCCTGCCTGCCTGCCTGCCTACCTATCAAATCATCTGCCTGCCTGCCTCTCTCTTGCTCTCCCTCCCCTCCTCGTATGTATCTACCATATCTATCTACCGTATCATCCATCCATCTATCTATCTATCTATCTATCTATCTATCTATCTACCATCCATCCATCCATCCATCCATCCATCCATCCATCCATATATGGACCTACCTACCTATCATCTGTCTGCTTGCCTGCCTGCCTGTCTACTTCTCTCTCTCTCTCTCTCTCTCATCCATCCACCTACCTACCTACCTACCTATTGTCTGTCTGCTTGCCTGCCTGCCTGCCTACCTATATCTATCTATCTATCTGTCTGTCTGCCTATCTATCGAATCAACTGCCTGCCTGCCTCTCTCTTGCTCTCCCTCCCTCCTCCTATGCATCTACCATATCCATCCATCCATCCATCCATCCATCCATCCATCCATCCATCCATCTATCTATCTATCTATCTATCTATTATCTATCTATCTATCTATCTATCAACTATTACTGCAAAAGACTCCTCACATAAGCCTGATGATGGCAGATGAGATTCTGTCAAAACGTCGCTTCTACCCTTTTAGGGATATATCCACAATTACACAGGAAGAAACCCGAAATATTAACTATACACACATATATACCTGTGAAAACTTACATAGACAACTATCTATCTATCTATCTACCTACCATCCATCCATCCATCCATCCATCTACCTACTTACCTATCATCTATCTACCGACCTACTTACCATCTGTCTGCTTGCCTGCCTGCCTATCTCCCTCTACCCACCTACCCACCTACCTACCTATCATCCATCTCTTACCTACCTACCGTCTGTCTGCTTGCCTGCCTGCCTGCCTACCTATTGAATCATCTGCCTGCCTCTCTCTTGCTCTCCCTCCCCTCCTCGTATGTATGTATGTATGTATGTATGTATGTATGTATGTATCTATCTATCTATCTATCTATCTATCTATCTATCTATCTATCTATCTATCTATCTATCTATCACACTCTCTCTCTGTCTCTTTCTCTCCTCTCCAGATGCATCTGAGCGAGCGTTTCCCCACCCCACCCCACATCCTTGCAGGAGGTGGCCCTGCTCGCTACGCCCCGGTTGCTTCGGAGGAAAGCAGATGGTTTCCCAGAAAAGCTCTGCCGCTTTCTAAGCTCAGCGCCGATGCCCAGTATAACTTTCACTTTCGCACGGGGGCTCAGCCGCCGGCTGGCCGTTTCCCCGCCGCTTGCAGAGCGCTGAGCGCCGAGCGGCAGCCGGACGGAGAGCCGAGCTGGGCTGCAGCCGGGCCGAAGGTAGCTGGGGGCGTGGGTGGGTGGAGAGCGCCCGCGGGCTCCCTTTTCTCGCGAGTGGGCTGCTCGGAGCTACTTTTACCCTCTCGGCTGGCAGACGGCGCTGCAAAGCGGGGAGGAGGCTGGGCGGCTTCCTCCAGGGGCGCCCTTGCCTGCGCGCTGCCGGATCCTCGGCTTTGCGCGCTCCTGCGCTATCCTAGCCGGCAGGCAGAAGTTCCTAAAAGAGGGGTTTGGGGTCTGCCTACCTGCCTGATGGGGTTGGGAGGTGTGGGTGGCATAAGAGGCCTTTAAGAAGCGTTTCCAAGGTGCTGCACCTGCAAACAGCTGACTTAGTTCAGGGGTCTCCAACCTTGGCAACTTTAAGCCTGGAGGACTTCAACTCCCAGAATCCCCCAGCCAGCATGCTTTAAGGTGGGTGGGAATTCCCAGAATTCCCCTGCCAGCACGGTATGAGATGGCTGGACTTCAGTTCTCAGAATTCCCCAACTGGTATGCTTTAAGATGAGTGCACTTCAACTCCCAGAATTCCCCAGCCAGGCATAAAGCATGCCTGGCTGGGAAATTCTGGGAGATGAAGTCCATGCATCTTGAAGCACATCTGGCTGGGGAATTCTGGGAGTTGAAGTCCTCCAGGCTTAAAGTTGCCAAGGTTGGAGACCGCTGACCTATGGGACCCCTGTTGGAAAGCTCCCTTTTACAATCTGTGTAATTTGGAATAGCCCGTATTTCTCCTGGGGTGGTTTGCTGCAAATTAGAGCTCGGGGGGAGTCGGGGGGGGGGCAGGCAGGAAAGTGAAAATGGGCCACGATTTGTGGGATCCAAGCTCTGCCCTTCTTGGCAGGCCACACCAGCCAAAAAACAAAAACAAAAACGAAGCAAGACTTTAATCCTGCAGTCGTTAGGTGCCATCTTGACTCTTTCGACGTCTTCCCCACAGATGCCCCAGCTTGCTTACTACTTGGGCTGACTTACTTGTGGGGCCCAGATCCAGGTAGGAGGGTGGTTATGGGCTCAGCAAGCGGTGTAGAATTGTTTTAAAAACAAATGAGTTGCAAGGAAAAGGGAAAGGGGAAAAAAAAAAGCGAAAGTATGAAGGATAGTATTGCCGGATGTCTGGCTAAAGGAGAATGTGTCCTCCCGTTGGGCAGACATAACCTTAAAATCAAATATTGTCCTGCTTTTCAAGTAATTTTGGTTTTTTTTTTAATTTTATTTTTATTTTGGACAGTTTTCACAACTGCAGTCAGTCAAACTCTCGTGTATGGTGTGACCTTGTAAATTGCTTCTTTCCTTTGTCGGTTGGCAGATTCAAGAGCCTATAATTACATGATGGAATTTATTTCCTGATTCTATCCATCAGCTTTAATCCAGCCCCTTCAAATCTACAATCGCCAGAGTCTGGAGAGCATATAATTTATCATAATTTCTCTGGTGAGATTTGAAAAGTGTTGTGGATGATTCTATACCCGTGATGGCAAATCTATGGCATGTGTGCCACAGGTGGCACGCGGAGCCATATATGTGGGCATGCGAGCATTGCCCTAACTTAGCTCCAGCGTGTATGTGCGGGCCGACCAGCTGTTTTTCAGGCCTTCTGGGCCCACCAGAAGTTGGGTAGCAGGCCGTTTCCGGCCTCCGGAGGGAATGCGAGGGTGGTGGTGGTTGGAAGGCCGTTTTCGCCCTCCCCAGGCTCCAAGAAAGCCTCTGGAACCTGGGGAGGGTGGAAAACAGGCTTACTGGGCCAACCTTTTCGCTGTTACGTTGCATGCATGGGAGGTGGGAGCGGGGGCATTGAATTATGGGTGTGGTTAGCCATCACTGTTCTATTCGATCGCTAGCACTTGGCCTTCTTAGAAAAATAATGCAATTGAAGAACCGGTCTTCCTGGTGCTGGAAAAAGTAGGGTAATTTTTATACATGTAGGTCTCCTGTTGCTTTTTATTTATTTATTTATTTGTTTGATTTATATGCCGCCCTTCTCCAGAGACTCAGGGCGGCTTACAATGCTTTTAAGCAATAGCCTTCATATTTTTGTATATACCTGCTTAGTAGGGCTTTCGCCCCCCCCAAAGTGGTGTTCTATTTTATACAAAGTCAGCTTATTGCCCCCACAATCCGGGTCCTCATTTTACCTACCTCGAAAGGATGGAAGGCTGAGTCAACCTTGAGCCTGGTGAGATTTGAACTCGCAGTAATTGCAGGCAGCTGGCAGCTAAATACTACTTTAACAGTAGTTTAGTCCACTGCACCACCAGGCTCCTTTTTGCTGTAATTTTTGTCGCAGACCAAGAAAATTAAATCGTGTAACTTTCCCCACCCCATGAGTCTTTCTTTTAAATTGGCCATGTCTTCTTTGGCCTGTACAGGTATCGGATTATCCCAAGAAAATCAGCGTAGAAACTGTGGGGGAGGACCAGGAAGGAGATTGGGGGGGTGGGGAATGGAAAATAGAGCTGAAGTCGTGGCATGTGGTTTTCAAAAGCAAGGAGAGAAAGTTTTCATTGGATAGGACAAAAATTGATTTAACGTGCAAAAAGTGAGAACATCAACAAACAAAACCTTCTTTCTCTTGTTCGGAATTTATTATATGTAATCCTCGACTTGAGCCCAAAATTTCCATTGCTAAGTGAGACATTTGTTTAGTGAATTTTGCCCCATTTTACAACTGTTCTCGCCTCTTTTGTTAAGTGAATCCTTGCAGTTGTTAAGTTAATAACAATCAAGCGTCTGGATTTTGCTCATATGACCCTGGGGATGCTGCAATGGTCATAAGTGTGAAAAATGGTCACAAATACTTTTTTTCAGTGCCATTGTCATTTCAAACTGTCACTAAATGAACTGTTGAAACTGTAACTGTTAAGCTCAGTTGAGCTGTGGTTAAGTGTGGGCTCTATGTGTTCATATAGATTGGTCACAATTATCTGTAGATTAAGGCAATCTTTTCTTTCTTTTCCTTCCCCCTTCTCTTTCCTTCCCTTTTCTCCTTTCCCTCCTTTCTTTTCTCCTTTCTCAATTCTCCTTTCTCTTTTCTCCTTTCCCTCCCTCTCTCTTTTATTCTCTCTCTCTTTCTATCCCCCTTTCCTTTTCTTTCTCTTTCCCTTCCCTTACAAAAAAATGTTTTTAAAACATTAGGGTTAAAAGCCATCTGGGTAACTTTGGGCCAGCCGTACCCACCTGACAGGGTTGTTGTTTTGGAAAAAAAATAGGAGAAGGAAGGTGTGTTGGATATATTTGCCGCCTTGTGTTATTTGTAAAAATAATAAAGGCAGAATATAAATAAATCAACAACCAAACTTAGTTACTGAACCAACCCATTTGGGAGAAAGGGTTTGTACAATGTATTCACTACTGTAACTGATTTCTGAAGAAATTACTGTATCATTCCTAAATTAAATTAAATTAAACAATGCCCCTGCAAGTCTACTTAAGTAAAATAGCTGAGAAAATTAATTTTTTTATTATTATTATTTTATTTAGATTTATATGCCGCCCTTCTCCGGAGACTCAGGGTGGCTTACAGTGCGTTAAGCAACAGCCTTCATACTTTTGTATATTTATACAAAGTCAACTTATTGCCCGCACAATCTGGGTCCTCATTTCATCTACCTTTGAAAGGATGGAAGGCTGAGTCAACCTGAATAAATTGAATAAATGCTTGCCATGGAGGCCAGAGTTGGTTACAGAAGCTATGAAATGGGATAGGGAGAATGTTCCAGAGTTATCCATTTGCTTGTTTGATGATATTCCACAATTTGTTCAGGAAAGCCACAGAGCCTTGGTGGCGCAGCAGACTAAAGTGCTGTTAAGTAACACTTGCTGCCTGCAATTACTGCGAGTTCAAATCTCACCAGGCTCAAGGTTGACTCAGCCTTCCATCTTTTCGAGGTAGGTAAAATGAGGACCCGGATTGTGGGGGCAATAAGCTGACTTTGTATAAAAAAGAACACCGCTTTGGGGGGGGGCGAAAGCCCTACTAAGCAGGTATATACAAAAGTATGAAGGCTATTGCTTAACGCATTGTAAGCCACCCTGAGTCTCCGGAGAAGGGCGGCATATAAATCGAACCAATAAATAAATAAATAAATAAATAAATAAATAAATAAATAAATAAGGCAGTATTCCAAGCGTTCCCGCCTCCCCATTGTCCATACTAATACCATTCCGCCGTGCCCTCAAAACATTCCTGTTTCAGCAGGCCGGCCTGGCCTAACTTTCCCTTTATATTGCTTTTGATTTTGTTTTAAACTGGGATGTCTTGAATTATCTAGGACCAGAGTATTTAGTATATTTTAATTGGTTTTTTTTAACGTTTGTATTACATGTATTTTTATCTTTCGCTGTTCACCGTCCTGAGTCCCTCGGGAATAGGGCGGTATATAAATTAAATAAATAAATAAATAAATAAATAAATAAATAAATAAATAAATAAATAAATAAATACAACAACAACAACCCTGTGAGGTAGAGTGGGTGGAGAGAGAGCAAGTGGCTCAAAAGGTTTTGGGGCTGAAGACTCTCCCTTGCATGCGTGAATTACCAAAGCAAAGCTTGCACAACCCAGAGGTTGTTTTCTATCTTTCTTCTTTTTTCAATAATTTTTATAATTTATCTTGCCCTAGCAAACAGACATCAGTTATTGGTGTGGAAAATACCTAAACGTACAAAAGCTTGTTGGCAGCACTCAGTGGCACATGACTAGCAAGCGAAGTTTGGGCTAGGTTTCCATTTCCCTCACAGCCTTGAGGCTGGGGAATTCCAAACCTGGAGGTTTCATTTCGAGACCTTTGCTCTCAGATATTACAGTCACAACAATTAAAAAAAGGGGATGATCCAGAATACATTAGTGTCTCTAATGTCTTCCAGACATCTTTGCTTTTTGAAATCTATGCATCTGCACTGGATACGTGCCATGCAAATTCATGTTGTCCGGTTGTGATTAACTCATAGAATCAAAGAGGGACCTTGTAGGTCATCTAGTCCAACCCCCTGCCCAAGCAGGAGAC